TGCCATTAAGAAATTGCATTCCCCCTAATATTTATCAAATTTTTCTTTCATCGTTCCCACCATTGATCGAATGAAATCATCATCATAAGAACATTCTTCATCTATCAACTCTTTTATGTCACAAACTTCTTGCAAAAAATAAGTTAGAAGTGGGGTACTCACTTCCTGATATGACATAAGTAAAGTTGCTATCCATTGAAACTAACATTGGAAACACCTCCCTGTACTTAATTGCAAGCACCAATATCTCATAAGTAGAATTCCACCTCGTTTTGTAATCAAGTTGCAGTTTCTGGCATGGCAATTGCAACATCTAAGCTATCTCAAAAAACATAACTACTCTAACCTCTGATTAATTGATATACACAATAGACTGACGTATGTCTTAAATGATGGGCTTAATTTGGGAAAGCCCATCCTAAACCATAAGATTCAGTATGTGTGTCATGCACCGCACATGAAACAACTTCCCACCGCATAATAGCTTCTTGTTTCTTCTAAATTCACTCTCAAGATCTTGATTGTCGCGTCATTACTTGAAGCATTGTCAACCGAGATACAAAACATCTTGTTCTTAATTCCCCATTCTATTAAACACTTATGAATAGCAGTAGTAATCTCAACACCAGGTCGAGGAGGAGGTATACGAACAAAATTGAGAACACACTTTTGCAACTTCTAATCATTATCTATAAAATGTCCACTGAGAACCATGTACTCAAGATTCTGATTAGAAGAATTTCATAGATCAGTTGTCGAACTAATCTTTTTAATACTCTTAAGCAAATCAAACAACTTCTTCTTTTGTATCTCATACATAGCCACACAATGTTGCTTCAACGTAGTACGCGTTATCTTCTCCCATTGTGGCATACCACATCTTTGCATTATGTTAAAACCCTCCTCCTCCACAGTTGTAAATGGATGCTCATGCATAAGCACCCAATTAGCAGCTAGTTCCTGTATCTTGCTCATATCAAACTTGGGCATCTGAAAATGCAAGTGCAAATTGCATTGAGACTTCATCCATTGAACTGGTTGGCCGCTGGCCAGAAAAATAATTGTGTTTGCCTCTGACTAGCTATTCTCTTCAAACAAGATTTCAAGTGTCTTGCAAACTGAGTTGTGCTCTTGGTCTCCGTTATTGTGAGCTTTGCCTTACAATGCATACACTCTCCCTTTGTAGAACCATCCGGTAGAACTACCTCTTTAAATTCACTCCAAACCACCGATTTCTTTGGTCTCTTTTTTTCCTGAAAAGGATTAACTTGCTCCTCTTTATTACTAGGGACAGGAGCATCAATATCAGCATTAGTTACGGTACGAGAAATAGGTGTGTTTGTTGGTACAACGTATCAAATATATCATCTACTAGAAGCTTTCCTAAAGTAGATGGCTGTGTTCGATTGGGGGTGGATGACGGCTCCATGTGAATTAAGAAATCCCTCTGCAAAAATAATATAAACTATGGTATTAACGATCTCACATAGACATTTATATATATAGATATGATAAGAAAAAGCAAGCCAAATCATATTCACTAAGTTGATTGCATCTTAAAACATGTATAGCACTCATAATAATAGAAACAAAACTTGATCTGCACTAGAATTGATTAATACTATGGTATTAATGATCTCACATGAATTTGGGCAAATTCACTAAGTGGTGGGATAATCGATCTTAATATATCTGCTCATAAGTATATTTTGCAACCACCTAAATATTTTTTTGTGCTTGCAATGTTCATCTTCAGTGTTGTATATTGTATTGCTTCAGATATATTAAATAATATTTTCATGTATGTATTATGTTGCTCGATATTGTAATCTTGCCTCCATAGATCTATAGTTAGACAAACTTCTTCCTGTATACATAATACATTTAATAGTTTGACTATGGTAGTGGATCCAAGTTGTGCATAAAATATATATGATGCTTGAAGTCTCGGATATAGAGTTAGACCATGGAATCTACACTAATCATTTTCATGTTCAGATCTTAAAACATGTATAGCACTCATAATAATAGAAACAAAACTTGATATGCACTAGAATCGATTGCAGCAAACAAAATATCACAAATAGAGCAAGTAATTAAGAAACGGAAGCTGGCCTAAGTCTGTGGTGTTAAGATTCAAGAACCCAAGCTTAATGAAGGGTGGATGACGGTAGGCATGAGAATCTGTGTTTGCAGCAGCTTCCTTGTTGAATTCAAATTTGCAGCAACTCCGATTGAAGAGTAAATGAAGGTTGGTTGCTGGACAGCGGTAGCTGGGTGAAGTTGGATGAAGGCTAGACAACGATGGCGTCTCAGATTTGTGGTTGAAGAAGTGAAGATGATGGTAGAGGAGGTGAAATCAGCAAAAATGTCTCTATTTTAGGTTTTAGGGATTTTGCGGCTGAGTGAAGTTGTGGCAGGTTTTAGGGAAAATCTTATATACACGAACTTAATCGATCGAATGAGCAGACGAGCTCCACTTACTCGAATGATGTCGCGAGCAACTCGAAGATCTCAAGCTGTTTAAGTCAAGCCCAAAAAAGCTTGACACTTTTCTCGAGCTTGAAGACGAGCGGGATCTCATGAACAACTCGCCTCATCGCGAACCAATCCTGACCTAATGACCAATCGAGCTCGAGTAGCTCACAAGCTACTGGGTTTGACTACGGCCCTAATTCAAAGTCATTTTGGAGGGTTAATATAATTATAAAAAGAGTAAACAACTTTTTCCCACCAAAGGTTTTCCTTAATGACATTTCACAGCCAAAAAGTTTCAAAATATCACTTTCCCACCCAACATTTATATTCTGCTAATACCCAAAATACACTTCACTGTCTCAATCGGCATTCAACGAGTTACCTGGAGCTAGGGTAAGAGGGTTTTTGTAGAGTAGAGGTCAGTGGATCGAACGGTGGTGATTGATTGAATATTCACCGTTGGAATCAGCTGAAAATTAGTTAAGAACAAGAAACCCTAGCTTTGTGGTGGCTGGCAATAGGTGAGAAATCAGGTGTCGAAGTGAGAGGGGTTTTGTGGAGAGGAGACTAGAGGTTCAAATGGTGGTGACAGAGATAATTTCTGTCATCGAAATTAGTCGAAATCAATTTTGGGTAATAACAGAATATTAACTTTAGGTGGGAAAGTGGTATTTTGAAACTTGTGGGTGGAAAAGTGTCATTGGGTGGGAAAAAGTCGTTTACTCTTATAACAACCACCCTAAGGTTTTGGAAAGTGATTTTAGATGGTGACTTTAAAGGTATTCTACAATAGAGAGTAAATGGCATGTTCCAACCTGAGGTTTAGCGAAAGCCCAAGTTGATATCCCTGGTTGTAGTTATTTTGGATTTCACTCTTAAATTAACAAAAAATCGTTTAATATAATGGTCAAAGGGTAAAAAGGTTATTTACACTGCATTAAATCTGAAATAAAAATAAAAATTTCAAATAACCCACTACAGCTAAAATTCCTCTCAGAAGCACCCTCTCTCCAAAAATCAGCCTATTTTTGGCCGGAATTGCTAGCATCGTCATTGGAATCAGGAGAAAACTGGCCAATATCAACTCCTTTTTGCAAATCCAACCCTTTCCCACCTCGAATTAGACCAAATGCCACTGTTTTCATCGTCACCAACCATTTTTTCGCAAGCCGCCTCTTGTCTTTCCAAGTCAGATTTTGCCTCAATCCGAAGGCCAAATCAAATCTTCCACCACTCTATTAATCATCGGCCTCTACTTTACAAAACCCCTCAAACCCTATCACTTGGTTTTCCTCCGATCATCGGCTGTGAAACGTTGCCCTCTTGACGTTGGGTTTTTGCGATTTGCTTGTTTTGGAGCTTTTAGAGGCTAATTTTTTTGTAGTTTTGTGTTGGTTGTTGCTATTAGGGTGTTGGTTATTGCTATTGGGGTGTTGTGTTGTGTTTTTTGGGCTGATTGTGGTTGTTTTTCTAGGTTTCCATCATCCCCCAACCATTCCTAACTCTCTTCCTCTCAGGGGCACACCAGGTGCTCGAGGAAAAGACCTTCTCAGCATGCCCTGTCACGCAACCTACAACAGCCACCCTCCCACCGGTAGGCAATCACAACTTGGGGTGGTGGGGTTTTAGAAAGGGGATGCTAGTGGATCAAAATGTGATGTCCGGATAGGTTTTTGTCATCGCAATTGGTCGAAAATCGGCAAGAAGTACGCAATTCCACAACCAGTGGCACCAATGATTTGGTAGTGTAAAGGGGTGGAGATGATAGGGATTTTGATGAGGGAGGTACGGGGATGTGTTTGGTGGCGTTGAGGTGTTCCAACAACGCTGGAATTAGGCCAATTTGGCTTGAAAACGACAATTGTGAGGTGGAAGAGGAAGATTGAAAAAGAGGGTGTTATTGAAATAAATTTGAAAGTAAGATGGTTATTTTAATTCTACTAATTTAGGGGTTAAAATATAATTTATTAATTTATTTGTTAAGGGTAATATGGTAATAGCATCTTTTGCATCTTAAAAATTGCTAATGTTGTTGGTTTAAAGATGGTAATTTGGAATAAATGCAACTAAGGGTACTAATTGGGATGTTGTTAAACCTCGGGTGGGAACATGTTATTTACTCCCCTTCAAATATTTAATATTAGTCATATACTACCCTTGAGGCCTTGACACCTGATGCCGTCAAGATAAATTAACAGTTGAAGGGTAAGTTTACAATAACAATCAGGGGTAAAACTGGAATGCTATTCAGTATTTTGTATCGGTAATAATTAAAAGGAGAAGAAAAAAAAAGAAACCCAAATTCTCCCGTCTTCTCCACCGTTCATCTTTTCCACCTATCCTTTGTGCAATCCACAAAGGCACAAACACAACTTTGGAACAAAACCAGTAATTAAATTTGGTAGATATCAGATTCATCCTCTCTTACTTTTGCATCACCTAAGATATATCTGGCAACAAGAAAAAAAATATTTACTAGAAAACCCATTCCCACTCCCCGATTACCTCATCATTTGCCCCTCTTAAGCCATAGGCGTTTGAGCAAACGCATCTAGTGTGCAAAAACTCGAATGGCCTAAGTGCCTCCAATCTGTGAATCCACTCACTTCATTACCCGCTGTGATACCATCTCCAGAATGCAGCTCCTGAAAATCGATAAATGAGCGCACATACTCATCAGTGGTATTGCTTTTGCTCCTCTTAATCAGTTCAGCAGTCTTCCAAAGTCGTTGCTCTACTAGTTCTTTGGCTCTAAGCTGCGCGTACATCGGAACACAGCCATTACCCCAATATCCAAAAGGTAGAGGAGGCTTCACTATTTTCCGAACATTGGTTGCATACGCGAACTTCACATTTTCATCTCCAGGAATCCCTGAACATCTGACCCTGTTATATCAACCATAAACTGAGTCAAAGGGGACAATTCACAAGTCACACAATTAATTAATTAATAATAAAAATGTCTATATAAAGTCAAGTTTATTTAAGTAAATCACTAAAATGGACTTACTTGGCTCGCCATAAGAAGGCACCCAAAGCCTCAAACGTGGTAAAACTCAAGCCACAATTCTCGAGCAATGCAAGTTTCAACTGATCCAAACACTCATCCGTCACATTAAAGCATTCTCTAACAACTGGTCCAACCGCTTGACGGTACGGTTTAAACCCTTTCTCCAACCTCAAAAACTCCGTAACAGAACCTTCAACCCGCGGTGGATCTCTTGGACCCAACAATCTCGCTCGGTCCCAACCCGGTTGAGCCGACACCTGAGCCGCCCCACGCGCCAACTCAGCCACCGCATTGAAAAACTGGGTCGCACCAAGTCCATCACACAAAGCGTGATGTATAGCAGCACCCAGAGTGAACCCACCACACTTGAACACCGTGACCTGTAAAATACACGGATTAAGCAACACCTCCTCCGAATCCGGGTCGGGAACTAGTTGCTCCACAAAATCCGAATCCGGGTCGTCAAGATAGTTCAAAGATTCTAGTGTGCAGTCCACAGTGGCATTGACAAGAGGGAGACCCTGGCCCACCTGGCAAAACAGCGAGAGACGTTGGTTGCCGACGTGACGAAGGGTGGCGGCAAGAGGGTAGTAATGAAGAAGAGCGGAGGAGAGAGCAGTGGCGATGACGTGGAAGGGCTGGGGGTCAGTGGGTTTGTTGTCATATACGCGGAGGTAACGGAAGGTTACACGGAGGTTGGGGTCATTGTCTAGGTGGGAAAGAGGGAGAACGTGGTCATCGTTAAAAGGTAGTGTGGAAGGAAGAATGGATTTTGTTTCTAAGATTTTCACTTGCATCTTTAAAGATGGATTCGCAACAATTGTGTTGTGTTCATGCTTTTGGTTTGAGCTTGAGATTTATGGAGGTGGATTAGTTGATTATTGTGACATGGCGCGGGACACGCTGGGAAGATCACCGAGGGTTGGTGAGAGAAGTTGGTGGGGGAGAAAAGTTAATTTTAAGATAATAAATTGCAAATAATCTGGTTAAGGAGAGTTTTTTGATATAATTATTTGAATTATCATGCTATTATCTCTTATATGGCACCATTGCACCCACGAAATCCCATGGATTCGAAATCGGAATCGAAATCAGAATAGAAATCGACTGATTCTTAGGATTTGAAACCAAAATTGGAATCGGCTGGTTTTAGTACCTAAGAGTCTAGAACCAAAACCTGAAACATAGGTTTTGGTTCTGAGAAAATTACGATTACCTTGCTATTCACAAAAATGATAAATATATCTCTAAAAATTAAATACACCCCTAAAAGTTTACAAAAATTACATTTCAATCCCGGTTCCTACCCGGGTCTTAGTTTCAATTCTGATTTTGATTCCTACAATAGTAAAACAGAAATCAGAATCGCACAGTACCGATTCCAATTTTTTAGAATCGAAACCGACCCTGGAAGAGTTGGTTCCAGATGGGAACTGGAACCTACTCACCTACCATTTTGGTTCTTTCCTATTTTTTGTTCACCCCAGCTACCATTTTGGTTTTTCCTATTTTTTGTTCACCCCAGCACCAACGGTAGTGATGTGTGTTGCCAAACTTGTACCTCCCTCAATAATGATCGTAGTTGCTGCCGCCGCCATGGTAGAACCACCTTGTAAATTTATCAATTGTCACCGACATCCTACTGAAACCAAATTGTTTTTCGAAGTTAGATTCGTTATTATTAAGGGAAGAAATGGAATGTTAACTATATAGTAGTAGCTTAATCTTCTTATTCCTTTACAACAAATGTTCTTATAATTAGGTATGATTATGCCCGTAAATAAAACATTTAATGAGAAGTCAAATATTTAAGGAATATCAATTTTTTTTTTTAAAACAAATATTTCTCATTTAATATAAAACTAGACATGGGATCCGCACGTTGCGTGAGTATGTTTATTCAATGTTTTTTAAATAGATTGTAAACAAATTTATTATAACAAAATAAACTAATTAGATTAAGACATAATAAGTGTTAAATTATACAAATTTTAAAGTAAATATAAATTGTATATATATACAAAGTTGTGTTAAGATAAAATTAATAATTGTACTTATATAATTATTAATATCAATTATAGTTAGATGTTATTAAATCATTCATCCAACTTGAGAAGATCACCTAAATATTATATGGTCTAATTATACTTTTAGGATCATCACCTTGTACAATTGATATTATTTTTGCAGACATGTCTTTGATATTTAATGTCAGTATTTTGTGGTGAATCGTGTATGATATTTAATATCACCTGAATATTATCAAGATCAACTATTTATACTCAAGTTTTATATTAACCTTCCACAATTTCTGTAACTTATATTCATTTTCAAGTTGCGTTGCGCGGGTATGTTTATTATATTTTTTTTTCACATTATTATTGGTTTTTTTGTGTTTTAAATATATATTTTCTATATTAAAGTTCATTTTATATTGAATTGATAATTAAAAAATCAATAAATAAAATATTCACAAATTGAACTCAAAGTTTATATCATCATTGTTCTTCTCAAATATGTTACCATTAGACATTTGCTACCAAAGTTTAAAACTTTGTCAAGAAAAACAAAAAAATTTGCAGGATAACCCACTGGGTATTATTGATAAGTCTATAAATTAATCAAAGACTTATTGAAAAATGTGAAACTTTTAAGTAAGAGACTTGCAGAGCCAAAGGAAAAAATTGATTTTGATTTTTAAGAAGAGAAAATGAATTATTTTTATTATTATTATTTTAGAAATAAAAAAAAATTAAGAATATTGAGAAGAGAACTCACATAGAAAGCAACAACAACTCTAACAGTATAATCTGAAGGCTACTTAATTGAAGTATTGAAGAAGCCATGAATATAAGGGTCCTCTGACACAAATTCATTTGTTGCAATTAGAATTGACCACCACCTATTGCAAAAAAAGCATTCGATCATAGTATCTTAAAGAAAGACAATAATTGTAAAACCCACAAAACCCACAAATCAAACAACAAAATCAGTCCAAAAATCAATAAAAAGAGATAGAACAAATATAATTAAAACTACATATCAATATTTGTTTTCCTTTGTCATCACTAAAATTGAATTTGTTTTATGTGTGTGGTGATAAAATGAATGGTTTGGCAGCACGTCTATAGTTATCATAATTCATCATATACTATATCAAATTAAATCCCTATCTTTCTAGTTTCCAAAGATTCAAACCATTCATCAATTGGATTTTTATTGATCAAGTTATGGCTAATTTACTACTGACTGTTCAGTAAAAATCGAGAAACGAGGGAAACCGAAATATGTATGATGATAAAAGGAACAATTATCCAAATTAAGTGTATAATATATTAAATTAACACTCTATCTATCTAGTTTCTAAAGGTTCAAACCTCTCATCAATTGGATTTTTATTGAGCAAGTTATGGTCAATTTACTACTAACTGTTCAGTGGAAACCGAAATGTCAATTGGATTTTTATTGAGCAAGTTATGGTCAATTTACTACTAACTGTTCAGTGGAAACCGAAATATGTGTGATGATAAAAAGAATGGTTTGGCAGTGGAGCTAAAGTTATCCAAATTAAGTGTATAATATATCAAATTACCTATCTGTCTAGTTTCTAAATATTCAAACATCTCATCAATTGGATTTTTATTGAGAAACTTATGGTTAATTTACTACTAACTGTTCAGTGGAAACCAAAATGTATGTGATAATAAAATGAATTGTTTGACAATGAGGCTGCATTTATCCAAATTAAGTGTATAATATTTTAAATTAAAGTCTTGTCTGTCTAGTTTCTAAAGATTCAAACCTCTCATCAATTGAAGTTTTATTGAGCAAGTTATGGTTAATTTACTACTAATTATTTAGTGGAAACTTAAATGTGTATGATAATAAAATGAATGGTTTACTAAAGCTACATGGTTTAGCATCAAGCATCAGTTGATATTTGTTAAATAAATGAAATTAGCTATATTCAGCAACAAACTCTTTTCATGATATTGGATGTAACATAAAAGATATCATCAAAAAGAGATAAAACAATTACAATTAAAATGACATATCAATATTTGTTTTCCTTTAAGGATAATAATAATGGTTCGATATATTATAAATGGTTTACTAAAGCTACATTGTTCAACAACAAACATAAGATGATATTTGAGATATAAATAAAATTTGTTATATTCAGCAACAACCTGTTTCCGATATATGTATGTAACATAAAAAAATATCAACAAAAGGAGATAGAACAAGTACAATTAAAACTATATATCAATATTTGTTTTCCTTTGTCATCACTAAAATTCAATTGGTTTTATGTGTGTGATGATAAAATGAATAGTTTGGCCGCATATTTATAGTTATCCAAATTCTTCATATAATATATCAAATTAAAGCTCTATCTTTCTAGTTTCCAAATATTCAAACCGCTCATCAATTGGATTTTTATTGAGTATGTTGTGACCAATTTACTACTGATTGTTTAGTAAAAATTGAGAAATAGGGAAAACCGAAATGTGTGTGATGATAAAAGGAATGGTTCGAAAGTGGGGCTACATTTATCCAAATTAAGTGTATAATATATCAAATTAAATTCCTATCTGTCTAGTTTATAAATATTCAAACCTCTCATCAATTAGAGTTCTATTGAGCAAATTATGGTCAACTTACTAATGACTGTTCAGTGGAAAAAGAAATGTATGATGATAAAAGGAATAGTTCGACAGTGGGGCTACAGTTATCTAAATTAAGCGTGTAATATATCAAATTAAAGGTCTGTATGTATAGTTTCTAAATATTTAAACCTCTCATCAATTGGAGTTTTATTCAGCAAGTTATGGTCAATTTATTACTGACTGTTTAGTAGAAACTGAAATATATGTGATGATAAAAGAAATAGTTTGGAAGTGGGGCTACAGTTATCCAAATTAAGTGTATAATAATCAAATTAAATCCCTATCTATCTAGTTTTCAAAGATTCAAATCGCTCATCAATTTGATTTTTATTGAGCAAGCTATGGCTAATTTACTACTGACTATTCAGTAGAAATCGAGAAATATGAGAAACCAAAATGTGTATTGATAAAAGAAATGATTCGGAAGTGGGGCTAAAATTATCCAAATTAAGCATATAATATATCAAATTAAAGCCTTATTTATCTAGTTTCTAAAGATTTAAACCTCTTATCAATTTGAGTTTTATTGAGTAAGTTATGGTCAATTTACTACTGACTGTTTAGTGGAAGCTGAAATATGTGTGATGATGAAAGGAATGGTTCGGCAGTGGGGGTTACAGTTATCCAAATTAAGTGTATAATATATCAAATTAAAGCTCTGTTTGTCTAGTTCTAAAGATTCAATCCTCTCATCAATTGGATTTTTATTGAGCAAGATATGGTCAATTTACTATTGATTGTTCAGTGGAAACTGAAACGCATGTGATGATAGAATGAATGGTTTACTTAACCCAATTTTAAGGGATTATCATATTAGGACTGATAAGAAATATTTCAAAAACACCTATTAATTGGAAAACGGAATCAACCAAAATTAATTCATTTAACATATATACTCGCACATCAACAGGACATAAACAATAAATCATTCATATAGCAAATTAAAATACATGAATGTTTTTATAGAAAACATATTCAACACAATTGAACTGTTTCTACTAATATAAATATGACACATAATCACAATTCAGCTGACAATAGGATCATACTCGATTTGATCATAGTAAAGTATATGAATATTTCCTTGAAAACAAACATAACAAAATTTAATCGATCTTCATGTTAAGATTTGTTAAGGAACAATTATTCATTCGTATAACAACTGTTACTTGAAAACGAAATCAACAAAAGTTCATTAATCTTCATATTAAAATTGTTAAAGAATACACTTACGTTTGGCAAGACTAACACAATTAACCATTCAAATAGATTGACCGAATAAAAACAATCATTCAATCAAATAATAACCGTTAAAATAGTTAGGAGATATATTTACAATTTCGTATTAAAATTGTTAGAAGACATGCTTACAATTCAGAAGAATGAATCAAAATAAAAAACTCATTTGACAATGTCAATCGAACATTCTACCTTTATTCCATGTCAATTCATAAATCTTTGACCTATAAACAACAACAAAAACATAAATAAATAAATCGATTAATAAAATCATGAAGAACAGACGTATTATTGACACAAACTAACATAACCTATAAACAATTAATAAAAGACCAGACATATTGTTGACACCAACTAACATATTGCGATAATACACAACTGAATATACACCCCTTTTATAACCCTTTATTTAGACCTTTCAAATGCCAATACAATTGAATACGAAGAAAAGTTTGCAATGTCAATACAATGCACCTATATAATTATTAATAAATAGATATGCTTTTACTACCAATGCAATGCACCTATGTAATCCAATTTTTATGTCTATTTATTTAGACTTTAGAATACCAAATGCAGCAATTAATATTGTCTACATCATCACCAATAAAATTCAACTACATAGTAATCACAAATCCAATATGTCTTTATGGTTAGACCTTTAGAATGCCAATGCAATGCACTTATATAATTAGTATTATTATTAATTATTAATACAACAATGCAATGCACCTATGTAATCCAATCTTTATGTCTATTTATTTAGACTTTGGAATACCAATGCAGCAATTAATATTATCTACATCATCACCAATAAAATTCAACCACATGACAATAACAAATATAAGGTATTATTATGGTTAGACATTTAGAATGCCAATGCAATGCACCTATATAATTAGAATTATTTCCATTTTTTTAATTAATTAATAATTATAGATGGAGTAATAAATACCAATCCAATGTGTCAAGATAAATCAATTTGATTGACTTGTCAATCTAATGTGTCAAAATAGAGCAACTTTAGAGCTTAAAAAATGTGTCACATGACGAACAATCCATATGAGTATTCATGGCGAACAACCCATATGAATATTCATGAATCTTATAGCTAAAAATATCTCATTAAACCACATATCCAACGCGGCAAGAGAGAGCAATTCTAGAGCTCCAAATTAAAACAATTTTAAAGCTAAAAAAAAAAAAAAGTGTCCTACGTATCACTCAAATAGGTATGCTTTTACCTTTGAATTTGAAATACCAATTCAACAATTAATATCTCTCTACAGCATCACCAATAAAATTCAACCACATAACAACCACAAATCCTATGTGTCAAAATAGAACAATTCTATGAGTTTCAAAATGTATCATATGGCGAATAACCTACATGATATATATATATATTACTTGTAACTTTTAGATTTTTTTTTTCCTGGTAAATTTATAAATAGTTAACAATTTTTTTGGTTTTTTCTTTAAGTTTATTTTTAATATATATATAGGGGATTTTTTTTTTCATAAACTTATATATATATATAAGTTTATGAAAAAAAAAAAATCCCCTAATTGATAGTATCTAATTTTATAACATATTGCTATAGCTTGTTATCCGATGATCCTGTTCTCTGCAAAGAAATGAGGTTGCGCTTTGCACTGGACATTTACAAAAGATTAGGAGGTGAATATATTGTATCTGGATAAAATCATATCGGTAAATTTTTTTCACAAATTTTCTCTCACAAATACGACATAACAATTTTTAATTGGTCAATTTGTAATTAGTCAGATGGAACTCATAGTAAGCCGAACAATAAATTAATAAGAGGATTTGTTATCCTAGTATTACCCATTTTATCCACGTGTTATTAACTTATTATTCGTCCTTCACCAGTCCCTCCCGCCTTTTCCAAGTTACCATGATATAAATTCAAATTCAAACACTTTCCAGCAGAAAAACAAAATTCCAGAAAGTACTTTTCCTTCCTCATCAGAAATTTCCCTCACAATATTCCCGGGAACCAAACAGCGACACTTCTTTCATCTCCTGCGCTAGAAAAACAGGCAAAGCCTCTCTCACTCCTTCTCCCACGCATACGAGCACACATTTGACCAGTGGATTTGGAAATTTTAGGGTTTCAAAACATTTACCGTCTGTTTTTGGGTAAAATCTAGGATTCTGATGTCTGTTCTTATGTGCACTTCGCTTAATTAGACTCTCGCTAGAAATAGATTCACATTTCAAGTTTCATTTAGTTTTGGCAACGGAATCAGTTTGGTTTCTTTTAAGCTTGCTTTAATCTTTCTGAGAATTAGATTCTCCTTCGCACAATATGATTTTATAGTATTTGTTGCCCATGTTTTGTTAAATGTAGGTGATGATTTTGTCTACCAGTTAATTTGATGTAAAACTTCTATCAATTTGACCTTTGTACCGTCAGTTACGTTATTTGATTTTACCGTTACTGAAGAGGTTATCAAATTTTGTGCAGTTTTATTTGACTAATTAAAAACTTGAGCTCTTTGTTGCTTGCTTTTTAAATTTAATCAGTTTCAAAGATTTTCTCCCTTGACTTTCTACCTGTCGAGGCAGGCTTCTAAATATAATGCTTCTGCACAATAAGAGAATTAGTTTTTAGTTGCTCATCTTTTAGTTCGTCCATTTATTAATCCATCTATCTTGTCTTGCCGAGTGTATATTTGGTATTCACTGGTTTGGCATATTGCGGAACTTGTGGACAATGGACTTTATCTTCTATTTGATTTAAAAATGAATTATCATTCGCAGCTTTTTTTCATAACTCTATATCTTAGTCATGCTGTCACTTGATGAAGTCTATCATGTTTTTAACTGTCAGACATTATGTCTAGTTTTTTCTCTGATTCTTTGATTTTAATGCAGCTTTGTCAAAATATTTTTTCATTTCAATCTGTGTAATTAAATGGTGTTAAAAGTGCCATCTCTTTCAGATCCAAATTTGAGTATCTGATACTGTTTTGGTTGTATGCAGTACTCTAAACATAAGATTAACTGCAAATGGCAGACATGCGTGACAAAAATTCTGCCTCTGCTACTGTTAAAGAGAAAAAATCACTTCTAGGTACTGTCTTTCTTCCTTTCACTGATTTTTCATCCATAATTTTGGAGATGATAGTAATAGGAAATAAAATGGTTGAGGTGGTGCATATATTCATTTCATAATGAATTTGTCATTTTAAGCATATTGATATGCAGCTCAGGCTTCAATTGACACATAACAGTAGTAAAAATATTATCAAAAGTGGAGAAAAATCTGAAAAAGTGTATGACTAATTGCTGCAAATGCTGGGGAAACTAGAGAATGAAGGACCAACTGTATATCTAAACTTTTAATTACACCCATTCTCATACCACTTTACCTTGAGCTTGGCATAGCCAACTTGTTACACTGGTCTATTTGAGTCACCAGGTCTCATGAAGACTGCATGTTGTTGGCCAGCCAACCTGTATCTTCAATGCTTGAAATCCTGAAATGTTGCATAACACTATAGGAAAATTTCTTGAGTCTTATTTCTTTCTAGTTATATTTTATTTATATATTTTGATCGTATTACCCTTATAACAGATGAGGAGATTGGAAAGGACTTCCTCAGCTCCTGGAAATCAATGTCAGTGACAGAAGATGATGCCATGGATTTTGGCTTTGACACAGTTTCAAATGGAAAGAAAAAATTTGACTTTGACAAACTGTGAGTGCTGATATAGTTTTAAGATTTTACAATCTTATTGTGCTATTGTTCCCAAGAGTGATTTCTCATGGTAAATCTTTGTTCTGCTGAATGTGGTCTCTTTACTCTGACTCGAGTGTAAAGTACATTAAACTCTTGATTAAATTTTCATTATTTCACCAATACTCGTTGTCTCTAACTCTGTGTTGCATATTGCACATGGTCCCTTTCCCTGACATTTTCTGTGATCACAGTGTGCCGTGCTTAGCAAACTATATCTCACAAGACAAAATTCTCAGTAATCAATCCAGTTGATAGATTGTAGAATCATGCATGAATCTCCAGTGGCCAGAAAACGATGATGGAACTTTTTATTTTTATTTTTTATTATTCCAGGGATATGGATTTTAATTTAGATGGTGATTTTGACAAGTTATCATCATTTAAAGTGGACATGCCAGATCTTGATTTTTCATGCCCATCAACAAAGAATGCAAAAGCCAAGGAAAGAGCTGAAGATGACTGTTCCTCTGGAAATCATCAAGGAAAAAGAGACTTCTTCAACTTCTCTTTTGATTTCAATGAGTAAGAGGACTGAATCCTTATTAAGATGCTCCTTGAAGCTTCAGATGTATAACTGTAATGTACTGAATTCTATACCAGTGAGGACTTTGCAAAGGATACAAAAACTGGGAGAAAATTTGTAGGTAATTCAAAGTCACCTTTCAGAGAACTACCAGATGACGAACCTATTTTGCTGAGGAATGAAAAGAATATCAACAACCTTTGTTCTACCGGGTGAGAAATCTGTGCATGGAGACCATTTAATGCCAAAAGGCTCTACTTTATGATGTGTCAAAATCTGGTCCTGTGGAAATAGATCATATAACTTTAGAATCAATAAATAGAGCCATTGATATTGCTCAAATGACAGTTTCCTATGCACTCTGCAATAGGGAGGAGTTCAATGGTGGGAAAAATGAGAGCAAACTGGATGGTGATTTAAGGCGTCAAGATGAGCAAGTGACAGAACAGGAACCTGATACTCTAGGAAGTCAAAATAATATTGGGTGATATGTCTATACTTGGGCATTAGTTCATTACATTTTGGTTTTTATAATTACTTGGAGTTGGAAACTTCCTTATTCCTGAAACTAATTAGATTATGGAGGTTTAGATTCAGTAAATTAATTGTTGGTACACTTGGCTTTCAACAGGGAGGATCTTCCTGCCAGTGATGTCCAAATTGGGAGCGAATTCGTGGGTAATTCAAAGTCAATTACCAAAGAGTCAACAGAGGGTGAACATGGTTTGCTTAGAAATGATAACAACATGAAGAATCTCAATGATGTCAGGTGATACATTTATTCCCGGAAACTATCTCATACCAAAAGTTTATATTTTTGACATGGTGTTTAAATTTGTTCCAACAGAACTAAATTAGATAATACACTTATAATAACCTATAAAATCAGAACCATTACTGATGCTCAGATGACATTTTCTGTACAACCTTCATTAGGGAGGATGTTGAGTCTGATAGTGTACAGAATGAGAGCAAAATGGTTGGAGATGTAAGCCCAAAAGATAAACAAGTAGCAGAAGGGGAACCTTTTAAGCTGAGAAGTGAAACAAGCACTAGGTGAGGCATCTACACTTTTAAATTTTATCATTTGTTTTTTATTTCAGTGTTAAATCTTCTAATATTTAAACCAAAGTTTGATTAGAGCTTGCAAGTTAAGAACCAGTAAAATATTTAGTGATATGTATGTTGCTTTCAACTATAATTTAGGTTAGTGGTTGATCATTTCCCAAGTGAAACCTCGATACCCTTTCAGGTATCCAATCTGGTATCTTCCTTACATGCCAAGAGGTTTAAGTTTCACTTTTGGTCAATTGCTTTGGGTAGCACGAGGATGCAAAATTATAGTAAACCTTGTGACATAAATCTGTCATCAAGTAAGTCACTTGATTAAGATGTATGTTTTGTTTCAGGAAGTTGTCTTCTTGATAAACTAGAAGTTTTAGCTTGGCTTATTTGGTGTGAGATGTAGAAGATAGACATGAGAAAATTTGTTTAACAAATCTCATTTAGTCATCCCAAAGTGCTACTGCTTAGCTTCCCTTCAAGCTTGCTGCCTTAATCCTCAAATCAGATTTTGCGTCTCTTCCTCCTTTTCCCTTAAAACTCTTCTTTTATAGCATCCAGTTGGTACATGAATATGTGATGAACAGAAGCTCTTTCCTTCTAACATTTTAGGTCAAGTAACTTATGTCATCTTTTATTCATGGTGTTTTGTTAGTAATAGAGTTCTGCTCTGGTATCATTAGTCATGTTAAATCTTGCTGATTTCATGTTCATGACATCAGTAGATTTTTATCCCCAACAGTAACTTGGAACAGAATAATTTTATTTTTGTTTATATTTCAGTCCAGCAGTAAATTTGGTTATTATATGTAAGTTTGATAACATTGGATAAATGCCTATAATTTTCAGCTTGGTGGTGTTTTTCATGTATCTCTGGTATGTTAATCTCAAAATTTTCTTTTTTCAACTTTTACAGAGAGGGCTTCAATACTAATGATGATGTGCAAATTAATGACAAATTGGTTATTTCAAAGTCACACTCCAAAGAATTAACAAAAGAGGAACCTGTTTCTCTGGGAAGTGAAAAGAATGTTAAATGTCTTAGTAATATCAGGTGAGGTAACTATTCTTGGAAATTATTTTATGTCAAAAGCTTCTATGTCTTGACATTCACTTGGACTTTTGTCTCTGATGAACTAGTTTTGATCCTTTAAGTTCAGAGCCAACACTTACTAGTACTCAACTGACACAGTCTTATGCATTTTGCAACAGAGAGGTTATCAATCCTGATGGTGTACAAAGTGAGAGCAAAGTAGTTAATTCAATACTACAGGAAAAAGAAGCAGCAATAGGAGAACCAGTTACGCTGAGAATTAAAAAGAGTTTAGGGTAAGGCATCTATATCCGAGGTTGTAATTTTTCTTCTTTGTCATTTTTTTACTTCACATTTTATATTTGGCTTGGTATTAAACTCAAGTAATCTAGAGTTAAGATATGATCATAAAATTTATGGTGAAAAACTAAGCAATGGGATTCTCGGCTTTCATCGAAAAGAAAAAGTCTAGGCTGTCTTCTGAACTCCTTGATATAATGCCTTCTAACACTAAAAATTAAATTATTTAGATTCATTAAATACCATAACATGGTATATTATGACATAATATGCAGGGTTTGGACCATGTCTCAGATCACTGTCTCCATAAATTTAACATTTATTAATTTTAAGAGTTTCCTCCCACTTGACCTAACATAGTTTTTGCTTGTTTTTGGGATATTGATTTAATTTTCTTTTCTTTATGAACGATTTTCATTTATTTTAGATATATATTACTCATATATTTACAATAGCAAATCGTGTGATAATGTAAGTTCCGAACCAACAATTATTAAGATTGAAATAATACCGTTTAATGCAATTTGCAACAGAGAGGCTATCAATGCTGATGGTGGACAAAATTGTGGCAAAGTTGGTAATTCAAGGCCGCAGTACACAGAAGTAAAAACAGGAGAATCGGCTAAGCTAAGAAGTGAAAAGAACTCAGGGTAAAGCATCTCTATCTGAGATACATATTTTTTTCTTTTTCATTTTTTTTACATAACCCTTTAGATTTCTAATATTTTACTTTGCATTGAGCTGTTTAATAATTGAGAGTAAGTACACGATCATGAAAGTTTTTAATATAAGAAGCATTGGGATATTAGCTTTCATCAGAGGGAAAAATTGAGAATGTCTCCTGGCATTCTTGTCACAATGCATTCTACATTCCATTCAAAATTAAGTCATTTAGCTTCATTAAATAGCATTATATGATATATTATGACAATAGGTTGGGTTTAAACCATGTGATTGAGACAACTGTCTTCATAAATTTGAAATTGACTTTAATACAGTTTCTTCTCATTTTATGTAACAGATTTCTTACTTATTTTTGAATTATTGATTTTATTTTCTTTTCTTTCCAGAAGATTTTCTCTAAACTAATGCATACATTACCCACATTTTTGCAATAGAAAATCATAAAATTGATCATATAAGTTTAGAACCAACAATCATTAACACTCAAATGACTCTGTCTTATGATATTTGCAACAGGGAGGTTACCAATGATGATGGAGTACAATACTTTAGCAAAATTGTTAATATAAAACCACAAGATAAACAAGCAAAAACAGGAGAACCAGTTAAGCTAAAAAGTGAAAAAAAGTCAGGGTAAGTCATTTATAAATCTGAGATACTAACTTTTTTCTTGTTGATTTTTTCTCTTAGTTACACTTCAGATTTCTTATTTTTACTTGGTATCAAACCTATGTTATAATCCACAATAAGTATATTATCGAGAAAGTTTATAATTAAAAAAAAGCATTGGGTACTTGACTTTCCAAAAAAAAAAAAAAAAATCTATAATTTCTTATGGACTTCTTTATATAATTCCTTCTATAGTTTTACTAAAAATGAAATTATTTAGCTTAATTAAATAGCATGATATGGTACATTATGATATAGACATTCAGGAATTTAGCAGACCACTTTGGCTGTCTTGTAATTTGACATTGATAATTATTGGATAGAGTTTCCTCCGGCTTAATGTCACAAATTCTTTACTTGTTTTTGGGATAATGATTTCTTTTTCTCCATCTCTTTGGAAGATATGGTTTTATTTAAGACATGCATCACTTAAAAATTCAATATAGCTTATCATAAATTTGTTTGGGATGTTATGGTATAATCATGACCATTTTCTATTCATTCTATCACTTATTTGCTTCTAACTGCTCCTTACTAATTTAGAACTTCAGAAAAATAGTTTTTTTTACCATTATTTTTTCTTATATTTATTTTGTGTTAAACATGAAAATCAGTTTCATATGTACTATATGGTAATGCTATGTGGTAAGTTATTTATGCCATTTAATCTTTTGGGAAACATCATGTTGAGATGATAAGCTATTGTGATGGTGTGGAAATATCATGTCAGTTTTCATCTAAATCCGGCTGGTTTAAATCAAAGTCAACTTAAGCTAAGTATCCAGGCGAGTGGAAATTCAAAATTTGCTGTTTCAAGCACGCGCTCTATCCAGAACCTGAAGAATGTTTCTGTTGAAGGGCTTAAAACTGTAAAGAGGACATCCAATCTTTCTGCCTTGAAAGATTTGAGGTTTGAAGCCAGTACAGTACAAATTCTTATTTAATTTCTATTATTATATATTCGTGAATCTTTCAAATTACTGCACCCCTCTGAACACAGGACTATAGGAGGAAACAAAGATATGCCAAATTCTACAGTTTTGAGGCAAAGTAGTTCATTTAGAAACCCGGGACAGACGGTAAAACTTCCAGGAATTACACCATCCACTATAGCTCATCTTGTTGGTGGCATTAAGAAACAAAATCCTGTAACACCATCCTTGAAGCGGAAAAAGATTGAGGTATCTCAAATTTCAAGTTCACCAAGTGATGTTATAAATTATTAAGTTTATAAACAAGTGTTATATGTGCAGTTTTGCTTTTGATCCCACAGATTCTGTCCTATAATATCTGTAACATTATTGTGACATTTCTCCAATGTTCATATGGTGCTATTTGTAGGAATCAAATGCAGATTTAGTGTCCTTGAAGTCCCTTAAACGTCTCTCTGAATCACCAAAGGAAAGCAGGTTACGTAATACTTTTGATCATACATATCTTCTAAGTCAAAATACTGGGAGTGTGCTGGAATAATATAATCCTTACAACCTGCAGGAAGTTGAAAGAAACTCTGGGAGGAGTTACTGAAGGAGAGGTATCTTACCAAGAAAGCTTGTGGCTCAATACATCAATGAAAAATGATGACTATAAAATTTATGTGGAACATGGATTAGGTTGATGTCTGATGCTTACAAATATCCAAGTATCTAACTTCCCTTACCTTTACGTTTGACTAGGTCTGGAAGCATGAGAGTCAAGGACCAAATGAGGCCAAGAATGTTCTCCATGGACATACACGCCCTAGACTTGAAGTTGCTAGGGATTTCAGGATGACTGAACTAGAAATTTCATTGGTCATGGAAGATGATGGAAATGTGGAAAAGGCAGAAGCTTACTCAAAAGAGCTTGAGGATGTAAGTGACCATAGATGTTCTGTTTGCTACTTAGTCGTTCATGATTTATCTCATAAAGCTTATGAAACAACTGCACATGTCCGTAACATGTTAAATAACTAAAAATCTTTGTACTTAAAAATCATGCTAGCAGAAAGTCACGATGACTAAGAGACCCACAGTCGGAATAAGTGGAACATGTTACTGCATGGAATCATTATCTTTAACAGTGAAATATGTAGGTTGAACCTGCAGTAACAGTGGTTTAACTCAACGTTTAAGTGTGGGAACATGCAAATTCCTTAAATGACGTATCTTTGCTATCCCTTTTGTTATATGGAACATTTGTTTTTCGTCCTTGCTTTCAATCATCCAATCAATTGAATCTCAGAACACAGTGATTCTATTATGTATTAACCACATTACCATCCAATTCATGGTTTTAAATGGATGACAGGGTCTGGTACTGAAAATGAATCAATTTCATGGTTTCAAGGCCTGCTGAAGAATGAATTAGCTTCCGATAAATTAATTCTGAGTCAACTTTATAACTCCTGTGGTTGGTTCATATTAGCTGGCAATTGTTGTAGTTCTTCCTCAGCAAAGATAAGTCCACTTTTGTGTGTGATATGGATGATTCTGTTTCTCCAGTATAGAGGAAAATAGGGGAGCTCAGAATGTAGGCAGTCAGGGAGAATTCCCTGCTTAGTTGTGAAACAAGATGGAAGGTTTACAATTATGCAAATTATTCTAAGCAATAAGTCCTAATGAGTTGTGCTTTCCAAACTGTTAGATGATTTGCAAATGATTGATTGTCCATAAAAATGGGGTTATTTTAAATATCAAGATTTACAGCTAGTATGAGTTTCTTTCTGCAGATATGCAACATGCTGAAGAAGAAACATGAGGAAGCCAAAGAAATATTGGTGCGAACTATTGTGAACAACAATAATCTACTCATGCTGAATCATCCAATCTATGAAGAGAAGATATCCTTCCAATTTTCTTTGTTGATTATATTTTTTCCTTTGGAATTTATTTTTGGAATGAAGATGTTGCACCTTCACAATTGAAAACATTCGCATGGTTCAGAAGTTTGCCACAGAATTAATGTGCAAGGAAATCCCAACATGATGATTGGGGACAATAGTTCTACAATGGTGCCTCTCTCTTTCTCTCTCAGAGATTCATTTCAAGTCAGTTGATAATTTCTCATGCCATGCAAATTTTAGGGATAGAATATATGTTTGCTTTGCTGCTGCAATTTCTATCATAGGAATATTTCTTTGAGAGCTACTGTTTTATAGGTTTTACTTCAATATTTTAGTTTTCTTCTTTTACATATTATTCAACTCATGCCCCGCTGGTCAAGTCCTTACAAGGCTGGTGCTTGAGCCTTATTACTTGTGTTTAAAATCTTCCAGGATTAAATAACCAATGAAGGGACAAGTTGGAAAATTTCACTCGGTATATAAATACAGGTCAAACATCCCCATCAATTCACTATGATTTATTATGTTTTAAAGTAATGGCATTATGGTGATACTAACCCCACATTTATCTCAGCTTTCAAGCAGTTTCTAAATTCAACATAACATTAGGAACGCAATAAGGACTGTGTTGGTTCAGCTTAGCCTTAACATAAGAGTAGTTGACCGTTCTTCGTTGTGAGCCAAGAAATGGATTAATTCAGGCATGAGGAAGAGGAAGTTTCAAGTGCCCCCACGAATACGAGTTGAGTTTGCACTTTGAGTTGGTCCAAGGCAGCACCTAGTTTGGCTTTTCCATAGCAATATCGAAATGGTGTAATCTTTCTTGCCCTTTTTTTATGGCATGCCTCTAATGAAATGACTGTAAAGTTGATGTTGGATATCATAATTCTAAATAAACAGTAGGCCATATGTCAATTCTCAAGTTGGGATCTGGAGTGATGATTTCCAAACAATTCAACCTTAGGTTGGTACTCCTGACAGGATTTAGTTAAATTTTAAATTTTAAATTTTTTAATCTCTCAACTCTCAACTCTCAAGTCCAAAGTCCGCTTCTTTTTTAACTCTTATTGAAATCTAGTTTTCTGACCTTCCACCAAATTGAAATTTTAAACTCCCTCCCTCGTATACCCAATTAGCGGCAGAAAAAGGCGCAGAATTCAAAATAAGAAGAAATAAAAAAAAAACTTTTGCCTCCCTCCGTGAAAATCAAAACCCAGGAAACATAACAAAATTAACTCGAATTTTTCATCTCCTGTTTCCCCTCCAAAATCCACCATTACATATACCTCTTCTTGTCGCTCTCATTCCGCATCTCTACTTTCAGTCTCTCTCTTACAAATTACAATGGCCGTGCTCTCTCTTTGTGAATATGATAGCAAAGAAAATATTAGTCCTTTCTCTTCAAAGCAGCCCATACCAGTTCTTGAGCTGTCTCAATCTTCCTCTACCTCCAACAAATTAAGAATCAGATATCCACTTGAGGACATCACCAACCTCTTGGATTCGCTAGCAGATTCAACTTCAGCTTCACACAATTCAACCTCTCATGTTTCTTTTCAAGCCAAATGCCGAAAGAGGGGAGTCCACCTAGATCTTGATTCAATGTGCAAGGAGTCCCATTTGGTTTATTCCAGTAGAAAGCTCAGATAGCCTTTTTTCTTTGTGTAATGCACATAAGTCACACCATATACCGATTAAAATGTTACAAGTTATTTCATTATTTCAATTTTGGAACTTCAGATTGTCTTTTTATCTGTAATTTCTGTATGTATTTGTTTTCAATTTAGAAGTCAACCCATTTATTCTAGAGAGATGAAAAAAAAAAAAAAATTATCGATATTTTGGTCTTTGGTAGAGGAGCAAATCTCTACCAATCAAGCGAGGCAGTTCTTGATTTGGATACGAGTTTGTGTGTCGTAATAGCTATCAACAGGTTTGAGCTTTTCAGAAGCTATAGCAATCGAATTTGAAGTCTTAAAATTGCCTTACAAAAATATATGTATTTGGATTTTGAGAGAAAAATTCCAAATTTGTTGATTTCTTTTGAATCTTATAATATTTTAGATGCAGTATGTGACATGTTCATATGTTATTGCTGGAGAATGTTGCAAAGGTTTGCATAAAATGGTGTTTTGGTGCGACTTAGCCCGCTAGTGTGTATAACTCAGTACCTTAGCTTTAGGTCCAATTCGCTTTGTATGTAAAACAAGTCTTACTCAATGATTTTGGGTGTCTCATAAATGTAGTATGGGTCTTGTTTTTTGGCCCCACCATTTTTATCAACAGCATCTCTTATTTTATTTTATTAAAGTGTAAAATATTAATTAAATTTAACATTCTTCTCAAAAATTCTTCAAATACATGAAAATTATAATTTATAATTTATAATTTTGGTTTTCTTTTTCTTTTGTTTTTGGTATTTATACAGAGGTTTCCAAGGGTATTTTAAACTTTGAGTAAGCGACGTGTTCCCATCAAAGGTTATATGAAATGACAAGTTTTTACCTTTGGTTTTATAAATTCAAGAGTCTCACTTTTAAATTAACATTGTTAAGGAATTTTGACTTCTAACACAGTTACAGAGGGTGTTATTATTATACTGTCTTTGATATTTTATTTCATCACCACCCAGACACCTTCACCATCACCATCACAACCGAAACCTCAAAGTCACCACACTATTTTAAAAACTGGACCGGACCGGTTGGTCCAATCGGTTGGACCGGGACCCGGGGCCTTCTCTAGGTCGGGTCACTCTTTTTAACTATTTGAAGTTTAAAATATAATAAACACACCTTTGATTATTATCATCAGTCCCTGAAGGTTTCAAATTTAGCAAACACACCCTCTGGCCAAATGCAAATCGGCAATAACCTCCCCTTTTTCAGAGGCCTTCCACCTTCTCTTATTGTTGGAAACCACCTTCTGAGTTCTAACTTTCTCCGGCGCTGTCAAGCTTCATCTCCAGCTGTCGTGTGACGTTTCGTCGTCCACCTTTGAGGCGCTCAGACATCGACAGGCTTCCTTAGCCACCGATCTACCTTCTCCCAAGCTCCCTTGTGTCGTTCACGAAGATCCTGTCATCTCACCAAAAAAAGCAACCGCGACCAGTGACTTCCACCATCGATCTGCCATTTTTCGGCGATGCCTCTACTTGCTAGCTGCCGATTCGCCCTCCCCATCATCTGATCTACCCTCTCTGGTGTGTCGCCGCTGCTCTCCCAATCGATCATCGATTTGCATTTAGCCAGGGTTGTGTTTGCTAGATTTCAAACCTATAAGGTCTGATGGTAATTATTAGGAGGTTTTTGTTAGATTTTAAACCTATCAAACCATCGGTTCAACCGACGATCCAACTGATTGGACCGGTTGAATCGTGACCAGGCCATCAGAGCGGTTTGTCCTCCGGTCCAGTTTTTAAAATAATGAGTCACCACCATCATAATCCCTTTAAACCCCAAAGTCAGCCTTGTCGCCACCAAACAACCACCACCAAATCACTCAGAAATTCAGCCACAAACCATCACAAATTCAGCCACAAGCCCACTCGAAAACCATTAGAAACTTAGTTACAAACCCATTCAAAAATAACCACAAATCAAGCTACGAACACCCTAAAACCACCACAAAATTAACTACAAACCCACCACAAACTTACCTATAAGCCTAGATTTAGATTGGAAACGTGGGAGTGTACTTGGGAGAGAGAAATGAAACTGAGGTTTTGTTAAGAGAAGAAGGAAAAAAGGGCAATCATAGGTTGGGGGTAACAACAATTGTGGTTTGCGCTGGGTTTCTAGGGGATGATGACGACAGTTTGGGGTGGGTTTCTAGGGAGTGACAATGGTCTTTTGGTGGCTTCGAGGCTATTGGATTTGGCCGCTGTAAGGCCATCACGTTGTGTCCACAACCACAACGTGATGGCCTTTATGTTGTGGCCACAACCACAACATGATGGTCTTATGACAGCCAAATCAAGTTGCCTCGGAGCCTATTCCGAGAAGAGAGAAGAGGGAAGAAGAGGGAAAAAGAAAGAAAGTAGGAGGAAGAGAAGAAAGAAAGAAGGAAAAGATGAGAAGAAGAAGAATGGGTAGAAGAAAAAGAAGAGGTGACGGTTGTAAGATGATGCCAGGTGGTTAATTGAATATGGGAGAGAGAGGGCTGAGATGATTGTGGTGGTGGTTTGGAATGGGGTGGGTTCAATGACCATTTTACCTTTAACTATTATATTAAACAATTTTCTATTAATTTAAGAATAAGAATCTAGAATTTATAAAACCAGAGGTGGAAACTTGCAATTTCACGAAACCTTGGTTAGGAAGTGGGAACATGTCGTTTACTCTAGACTTTTTCTTGAAAGTTCTTGTGGGTGCATTTGTTTTAATATTTTTGCATTATCTTATCTCGATCCTATCTAAAATATACATATGTTTCCCTATTCTGAAAATCTTATTCTATTTTATTCAATTATTTTAAACCCTTTAGGTTTGTTAATTTAACTAAACACTTAAAAAAAGTATAGAAATTAACTAAAACACCCCCAACCACCCATATTTGCTAGATTCTGGCAATCACTACTGGAAGGTGGTCAGAATCTGGTATAATGGTGCACTATCGACTGGATCTGGCCGGTAGTGCGTCGATCTAGCCTTTTCCAGTAAGATCTATTGTGGATCTAACCGGAAAAGGCCAGATTTATGGCCAAAGATCTGGCTGTTGACAACCAAGTCTTTGGTCGTAGTTAGTCGTCAACGATGACCATATCTTTTGGTTTCAATAAGGGTGGAAATGCGGTTATTTAACTTTCACTTGGCCAAAGATATGGTCGTTGACGACCAAACACGGTTAGATCTAGTCTTTTCTAGCCAGATTCACGATGGATTTGACTGAAAAAAGTCAATCAGCGCACGATCGATCAGATCCAATCAGTTGTGTACCAATACGGTGACTCCGACGATAGTAGCCAGCTGTCGATATTTAATGGATAAGTGAGGGTGTTTTTATTAATTTTTAATATTTTATTACAAGGATGTTTAATAAATTAACAAATATAAAAGAATGTTTTTATTAATTTTTAAATATTACCTTTTAATAATCACATAACTTTTACTTTTTCAAAAACCCTATCAAAAAATACTAAAACAAACACTGAAGTATTCTGTAAATAAAAGTTGTGTCAGGTGGTTTTTGAAAAATATGGGTTTGATGACTTTAAGCCATTTGCTAAGAGAAACCGTTAAAAACAAACAAACACGTGGCGGCCCACCGTTTTAGTAGTGGACTCACCTATTTATGGCCTTAACGAAAACTCAAAGTATGCGTTTGGTTTAATATTTTTATCCCTATTCTGGATCCTATTTTTCAAATAGCGTTTGGTACAATATTCTCAAAATATTACCCTATATTTTTTAATTACATTTTAACCCCATAAGGTTATTAATTTCACTAAATACCCCCTGAAAAAAAAGTTTAAAAATTAACAAAAACACCCCCATCAACCCAACTTGTCAGATTCCGGCAACCACCGTCGGTGATAGCCGGAATCTGTACAACGGCCAAACTTCCGANATATTATTGCAATTTTATATCATAAAAGGTAATAGGATGCAGTTTATGTGGACTTTCTGGAACTTTTAGGGGTTGTTTGTAATTTTTAAGGGGTTTAATTTAATTTAATTATATGTGGAGGCTATTGGAATTTTGTAAAACTTAATATCGTACATCTGGGTCGCCTTGGATATACCTCGGCCTTATTTTCCAAGCCTAGGGCTGGTTGAATTTAGGACCAGGCTGGGCCGAACCCGCACTGGGCCGAATCTACACCAAGGTGTCACAAGTTCCTTTATATCTTTAAGCCTATCAATGTCCTATAAAATCGAGTGCCCAACAAAAGAATTATCCAGAATGGCCCAATCCAGCTCTCCAAATTATTGTAAAAGTTAAAATAATTTAAATTATCTACCCAAA